CGAAGTTTCTTTTTAAATTTAACTTTCGTATTATTTATCGCTTAGAGTAATAAAGTATTAAATCTAATAGTTTTACTCGATAAATAAAAGATCTATTTAAAAACGAGAATAACGATTATATTTATTATTAATATTATATAATTTTTAAAAATAATAATCTTAACGAAGATATTAAAAACGTTATATATCTTATTATTATACTTTTAAATAATATAAAAAAAAGTATTATCTCTCTAATTATAATATTATATAAATTTAATAAATAAAATAATATTAATAATAAAAGATTTAATAAAGAATTATTATTAAGAATCTCGATAAAAATTTCTTAAGAGAAGTTTTTAAAAGAACTAAAAGAAGTCTTTATTATTAATACTTCTAAATTATTATATTAAATAAAAAATATTTATAATTATAATAATATCGCTTAAGAAATTATTTAATTAAAGATATTTAAATAGAAAAAGTTATTATTTAAAATAATTAAGAATAATCTTAAGCTAAAATTAAATAATTATTATTTTTATAATAAATTATTATATATTAATAATAGATTATATATATCGAATATTCTTAAATTATAAATTAAAATTATTAAAGATATTTATAACTTTTTATTTAAAGATTATATTAATAGATTATTAATCTATAATAGAATAAATAGACTTTACTATTAATTAAAAATAATAAATTCTATTACTCACTTTATTAAGAGCTATTATATCTATAAAAAATCTAAAATTTATAAAAGAAGTAAGTAAGATTTATTTAAATCTCTTTCTATTTCTAAATAATACTAATAAGATATTTTTATTAACTTTATTATATTATTATCTATTTATCTTAAATATAAGCGCTTTTATTAATATATTATAATAATTATAAATAGACTTAATAAGAAGAAGAAATTCGTTTTTTTAAACTCTCTAAAAGTAAAGATAATAATTTAGATTTTTATTAAATTTATATAGCGAGAGAAAGAATATTTATTTATTATTATTTTTAATTAAGATATTTAGTTTATAATATATTTCTAAAGAAGACTATATAAAAGAATTAAAATTAAATCTAAACTCTTTATTATATTTTATTTTAAAATTAATAAATAAATAGAGAACGCTAATATTACTTTAAAGTAATATTTTAGAATTTATATTAATTATAATTAAGATAATTAAATAAATTTATAATTAATAGTAAAGTTCGAAATTAATTTCGATAAAAACGCCTCATTAATTTATATTATTATTCCTTTTTATTAAAGAATATAATTCTTATTTAAAAATAGAAGTTTTTATCTTTTAAAATTAATTCGCTAGTTAAAGAGTAAAGAGAGATATTAAATTAGTTAATAAGTTTATCGAAAAAAATTATATTATAAAAAATTATCTAAGAAGTTAGCTTAAATAATTATAAGCTTTATAAAAGAAGTAAACTAATTATTATTAACTTTCGATATTAAAATTTAAAGTCGAAAATATAATTATATTTAATAAAAGAAATATTAAAATTATACGCTCTAGTAAATTACTAAATTATAAAAATTTTAAATTATTTAAAATTATTAAAGCTTTAAATAATTTCGCTTATAAGTTAAAACTTTCGACTTTTATAAATAATATTTACTCTATCTTTTATTTATAATTATTATATCTTAATAATAATAACTTATTATTAGAATAGATCGAGTTTTCGTTATTATCTATCGATATTAATAAAAAAGATAAAATCTATAATATTAAAGAAATAGTTTAATCTAAATTAGATAAATAAATAAAAAATTCTTAATTAATAAAAGAAAATATCTAATATATAAAATTAGATATAGAGATTTTAAGATTAAAAAAAATCTATTTTAATAATTATTTATAGATATAATAAAATATTTAAATCTAGTAATAGACTTTTATTATTATTATCTTAAAGCTATTAACTCTTATTTATTATTTAAAAAATCTTTAGAATAATCTTCTCTATTAGCGCTATTAATTTATAATAATTATACTAATTTATAAAAAGACTTTAATCTTATAACGAAATACTAAGTTAATATATCTAAGAATATTACTTCGTATATATCTAGATATACTTTTTATAAGATCGATATTCGCTATATAATAGTCGTCGTCGAAACTTCGAATTAAAGGGAAGAGTAATATTACGATTTTAATAATCTTATAATCTTATTTATATTATAGTCTAATTAGACTTAGCGTACTAAGGCCTTTCAATTTTTCTATTTTACTATAAAGCTTATATACTTATAATAATTCTATATAGATAGTATTCTCTTTATATTATAATATAGAATTACTATATATACTATTGAGTTTCTAATAATTATAAATAAAATAAAGACTATATTTTTTAATTTAAAATTATTCTACTTTTTATAATTAGAACTACTTTTTATAATTAGAACTACTTTATATTAAAATATATTAAAAGAATAAAAGTCTTATTACTAGTTTTAGAGTATAATATTATATAAGACGAGTAAAGGCCTATAAATTAAATTCATAATCATTTTTTTAATTAGGGCTATCGAGTTAGTAGGTGAGCGATCTTTAGTAAGCGAACTTTAATAAGCGATATTTGAATTTCTTACGCTTTAATAATTATAAGACTAAATTTCAAAATTCTTAAAAATTCGGAAAGCACAACCGGCGTTTTAAAATTAAAAATTAAAATCTTAAAATTTTAATAGAAAATAAAAAAGTAATTCTATATATTAATAATATACATCTATTTTTTTAATGAGGGAGGCGTGGGAGGGCGAGATTTTAATAATTGCGGACGCTAAGTTATTTACCCGCGATGATTTAGCCGATCTAATTAAAGAGCGTAGCGAATCTAAATTAATAATTAACTATATATATAAATTCAAGATTTTCTAATTTAGCTCTATCTTATTCTTTTATATATACTAATATAAATAAGCGAATAATTATATCTTAATTATATAAAGATTATCGACTATATAATTTAAATATATATATTTAAAGAAAAGTATAAGAAGCTTAATAAATATAATAAGAAGTATTATTTAATTAGCTATAAAGATATAAATATCTTTTAAATATAAAATTTAGCTACTCGATAAATAAAATAATCTTTTTATATTAACTTTAATAATTTATAAATAATAATTATTATAGTTTCAAATATAGATTATTAATTAATCGAAGAAATTAATAAGAATATAATAGATATAGAGAATATAGAGAATAAATTTATAATATATGAATATATCTCTAAAAATTTTATTAATATCGATATAGGTCTTATTAATATAAATAAGATTAAAAATATTCTTTTTAATAGAAATATTAAAGAAATCGAAAGAATTAGAGATAAAAAAATAGTAGTATAGATTTAAAAGAATCTAGTAATAAAGATATTAATAAGATATTTTAAGATAGCTCTATTACGTATCTAGATTTATATTTTAATATAATATATCATTCTTAATTAAAATAAAGTCTTATATCTTTTTAAAAAATTCTTTTAAATAATACTTAGAGTAATAATAAAATATAAGTTTAAAAAGCTATTACTTATATTAAGTATAATAGAATTTTTAAATAAAAACGTCTATATTCTAGATAAGCTAAATTATATTATAAAAATCTAGATTATTATAATTTCGATTTTTTTTTAATCTCGCTATTACTATTTAATAACTAATTAATATATAAGATTATTAAGTTATAATAGAGATTAATAACTTTAAATTATTAATTTATAATTAGATAATAATTAATTTCTATATTAAATAATAAAAGTAGGCTATAAATAAGTATATAAAATTCTTTTTTATAATAAATATTTAAAAGCTTATTTCGAGAATAAAGAATATACTAATTTTTATTAATAAATAGATTTATAAAATAAAGAAGAAATTTAATAACTTTATTTTTTATAAAGTACGCTAAGTAATTTAAGGTTTTAAATAGATTTATAATATTAATTACGATTAAATCTTCGACTTAATTATTAAGTCTATATTATTTAAAATATTATTTTTAATTATAATATATTATAATCTAGAAAGTTAAATAAGAGATATCGCTTTTTTAAGATACTATAAGTTTTTATATATTAAAAATCTTAAATATATTATAACTTTACTTAATTATTAAATTCTCTTAAAACTTTTAATTAATATTATACTCTCTCTTCGAGTATTTATTTTTAAATCTATACTATATCTTAATTATAATTATTATAAAATTAATTATAATTTTTAAATTTTAGCGAGGAAAAAAAGAAAGTATTCTTATTAAATTAAATTAATATATTTATAATATATATAAGTAAGCTTATTAACGTTACGTATAAAAGTAGTTATTTTAATTACTATTAATTAATAATTTAGAAACTAATTTTAATAAGATCTCTATATACTTAATACGTATAATATTCGAATATTTATATTTAACTTCGAATTAAGCGTAGAAAAAATGAATAAATATTATAAAGTAAGAGTATATTTTAAAAATAATTAATATAGAATAAAGTAGATAAATAGAACTAAGAGTTAAGATTAGAAGTATTATAGATATATAGCTATTAAAAGTTTTAAGACTAATAATTTAAGCTAGATAGAATGACTATCTATAATATGAACTTTAATTATATATATTATACTAATGCTACTTACACTGGAGACCGTCTGGCTACCCTTTGATTTCCCTGCTTCGAATACTCCTGAAATGCTTAAGGCTGTAGGCAAAGCCTAGGGCAATAACTTCGATAACAGACTTTTACCTCGAGGTTATCTTGTGAAGATGTTGCCAAAGAGAAGATCCGCCGCCATATATCTAAAGTAGAGCACTAGGCCTTGGGCAAAATCGTGCTACCGACGGAGAAAATAAAATTCTCTTTGTGCCTGTCAGCGGAATATGTAGTCCTTCAGGTTGGACTACGCAATCTTCTCCCTCACGAGCGCACTCGGTCCCCTCAGGAATGAGACAAACAAAACTTGATTCCACAGCAAATCATCTCTTCTGAACTCGATAGGCGGATCGAGGTTTTTGTTGTGGAGATGATTTATTTGGCTGCTTTAAGCCGGGGGACTTTGGAGGACCCATCGGAGCAATACTGGAGACGCGTCGGCTTGTTTTGTTATCATGAGCGAGTTCGTAGAAAGCGGTAGTCTTCGAAGCTTTTGACCTGGTAGCTCTACTAAGATGATTAGTATCTACATTCGTAGTGACTGGTTCCTACTTACCGCCCAGAGACCGGTAGTAGAGTTCGACGTTGTCTTTGACGTTGTACTTTGCGTGCCCGTAACTGCGGTGAAGTGGAGGGGGCCGGATGAATGTTTTGCAAAGGCGTGTCACCCAGTTTGGGCCGCTGGATCTCCATGTTGACGGACTCATTCTCCTTAGATCTGGCGCCTGTTGTGAAGTTCAGATCTTGATCCCAAGCCACTCCGGGATAGGTAAGGCTCTTACCTCGTGGAGTGCACGGGGGAGACATAGGCGGAGTCATCGGCCGTATATCCTCGAATTCTTCATCATCAGAAGAGACTGGCTCCCAAACAGTAGAAGGTCCTCGTCCTTCAGCCTCAAGCCTTGCGCGCATTGCGTCGGCTTCTGCGTGGATCCTATCGAGTCTCTCTTGAGTATCTCCTTGCATGATAAGCCACGCGTCGCTTTCTTCCCGTGTTATAGGCATGATGGTGATGATTGGCATGTGAGCCAGGAAGTGAAGGGGCGGAGTTTGATGCTCCCGCCACTTCAGCCCTATGATTACGAGTAGCGCCCTTGGCGACGCTGCGCAGAGCCGCAGCTGCCTAAAGTGAGCTAAGCCGATATTGCACTAGCGGTTTTCAAATGATGTACCTTCTTCAACAAATCTCTGCGGCATGGAAATTTTGAACTAGAATAGAGAGCAAGCTCGAATGGCTGATACATTCAATGGCGGTTTTGCCAGGCTTATACCCCGCAATCAAATTGCACAACGTTTGTTCTCGGCAACCCATATTTATGTCGAAGAGAATAAGACATTTCATATGCGTTTCTTGGAGCGGAAGCTTGTTAGCAGTGAAATGCCTGTAGCGTCAGTTGAACCCGTGGAGAGTTCCACCGATTATGATAGCCAGCTCGAAGGTGAGACTGAGGGGTTTCAAATGGAAAATTCAGCATATTTCGTCCTTTCTTTCGATCAGGAACGTGAACCAGAGTTTCCTCACTTGGGCTGGAGAGTGGGTCGAGGAACCAAAAAATCACCGGCAAACCGTGGGGTAGACCTCCTTTTATCAAAACCTGGTGATCAACTAAGCATGTCGCTTGCTAGTGTACATATGATCTTCCACTTTAACCGACAGTCTGGACTTCTTATGTTAAAGGGAGGAAGCCATAAAGCATCAGTAGAGTATAGATTGGGTAGCAAGTGGGTCAAGTTGGACTACGACGAAGAGCACCTTGTATACGAACACTCGACAAGGATCCGGGCGGGCATGTGTGAGTATGAGCTGGAGCATACGGTGGCGGAGAAGTACAGGAAGTCATACTTTGAGAAAAGGGACAGGTTCCTTGAAGCACAACTACCAGGGAACAATCAGTTCAAGATAGGACCACTGCAGAGGATGCCTGGCGACAACTACGTTCTGAGGGGACGGTACCTTGAACTCGAAACGCGAGGATCAGGCGCATTTGGGTGGATCACCCAGGGACTCGATACTAAGACAGGCGATTTAGTGGCTATAAAAGAGCTGCGAATCGAAGCAAGAAATAAGTCTGAGGTTTTGGCAGAGGTGAGCATGGGGACGCGCTTTACGGTATACAGAGCCTTGTATATGATGTTCCTGACACACTTCAGAATGAGCCTGGCTTACTTCCGACCTTGAGCGCGATGTGTGAGCACGGCCGTCCTGAAATCTGCTGTGCCTTAGAGAGGCTCTTCCTTTTCATGCCCAGCGCAATCTCGGATTTCACGGGAGGATTCTGGGGCAACACGAGCATTCCACGACCGGCGAAGTTACACTTTCTCAAAGAACCACTCGAAGGCCTCAAGACTTTACATGCCATGGGAATTATGCATCGCGACATCAGGCCGAAAAACATGCTCATTATGTCTAATGACCCTCCTCGCGCTGCGCTCTGCGATTACGGCAAAGCCGTCGAAGCAAAGACGTCCAAAGTCACGACAATTGGCCCAATCTACACTTTAGCGCCTGAAGTCTGGACGGTAGCCAGGGATGGTCCCTACACGGCAAAGATTGACACGTGGGCTTACGGGTATGCAATCGCCGAAGTCCTAGGTTACAAGGCCCGAGAGTTTTCGAAGATCACGCAGGATCAGCTCGCATCGATTCTCAGGACTCTACGTGCTTCCTACGTTAGGGGAACTGACGGTGAGCCTCTTGTCGACCTGGTCTCGAAGTTGCTCATATGGAGGCCTCAGGATCGGTGGTCGGCCGAACAGGCTCTGGAGCATAACTGCTGGCTTCCAATAGCGCTAGAGCAGGACCGAAGACATGACGATCCTGCAGAAGCTGCAAGGTCCAAGAGAGCTCTGCTGGAAGATCGGGTTTAACGGTACCTGTACTCGGCGCAGCGGGATTTGAGGCATTGGGACCTGCAGCCGGCACAGCAGCCGCGTCTTGGCAAGCATCATTCGGGTTGGTCCAGGCATGTAGCCTGTTCGCCTGGTGTCAGAGTGCGGCAATGGAAGGAGCGGCTGTAGGCGGCTTGACGATTGCGTGCACAACCTGGACAAGCGTGATTGACATGCCAAGACTAAAAGAGGAAATTATGCGTTTTTTCCTTACTCACAAAGTCATTGCTCGTGATCTATCTTGCGCTGGGAGTGGTTAGAAAGCAATAAGTCGACCAGGCTATTGCACACCGAGGAGACCACAATTGCGAGCATGGGAGAAGGCGCTATGTCTCCAGACCACATCAATATAAAGAATACAATTATAACCTTCCGTATTGTATATTCGATTATAGCAAGTATTAAATCTTAGCTTAAAATAAATGTAGAAGAAATAGATTATGAGAAGTCGTCTAGTTCTAATAAGATAGTAATAAATAAGAAGCATCTTTTTAATTATATATAGAAAGTGGAAATTAAACGAGTAGAAAGTATCTCCGTCGTCTACGTTATTAGATATATATACTTCGATTATTAGAATTTACGTATAATCGAGAGATATCGACTACGAAGAAGAAGTAATAGTAATAGCTTTAGTCTTAAATAGATAATAGATATAAGTAATCGAAGCGATAGAATAAAGTCGAAATGCTAGATATATAAGTCGTAGAGATAATTAAAAGAAAATTAAAGATAAAAAATATTATTATAATTTTAATCGTCTTACTTATATTATAATCTAATTAAATATAGCGTATTAAGATCTTTCGATCTTTCTATTCTATTATAAAAAAATTATTTATAATTACTCTATATAGATAGTATTCTCTTTATTAGTATATATAAAAGAATAAGATAGGGCTGAACTAGAAAACCTTGAATTTGTATGTGTAGTTAATTATTAATTTAGAGTTATTACGCTCTTTAGTTAGATCGACTAAATTAGCTTAATAGCTCTCTCGCGTTTTCTTATTAAAAATTTATATATAAAAGTCTTATACTTTAAGGTACTTAGCTTATAATAGATATAGTTACTTTATAATTTCTTAAATTATAAAGCTCGCTTTACGCTTTCTAACGCTATAAAAATAATGAAATTTAACTTATTATTAGTAAATTAAACTAATATTTAAATATTATAGTTATATTAAACGCGTTCGAGATTAGATAATAATTCTTTTATCTATTTATATAATTATTCTTCTTTTACTATTCTATTAATTCTATTAATTTTATTAATATCTTCGATATCTCTCGCTTAAAGATTACTTTAAATATATATATCTCTTTTATCTATTTTTTAAAGCCTTTATTAATGCCCTTAGATTATCTTTTAGCGAATTCGCTATTACTAGTAATCGAGGTTATAAGCGAGCTTAATAACTATCTACTACTACTTATAAACGCGTTAAAAGATTCTTAAAAAGAGCTTAAATAAATATATCTTTTTTTATATACTTCTTCTAAGCTAGCGGTAGATAGGTTAAATTAATATTTAAATATTATAGTTATATTAAACGCGTTCGGTTTAAATACATATATCCCTTTAACTTACCTCTTAAAGCCTCTATTAATATCTTTAGATTATTTTTAAACGAATTCGTTATTATTAATAATTGAGATTGTAAGAGAGCTTAATAGCTATCTACTACTACTTATAAACGTATTAAAAGGCCCTTAAAAAGAGTCCGAATGAATATGTCTTTTTCTATATACTTCTCTTAAGCTAGCGATAGATGAATTAAATTAATATTTAAATATTATAGTTATATTAAACGCGTTCGAGATTAAATAATAATCCTTTCATCTATTTATATAATTATTCTTCTTTCACTATTCTATTAATTCTATTAATTCTATTAATTCTACTAATTTTAATATAAATATATTTATTCTCGATACTCTCGCACTTAGTTAAATAAGAGAAGAATCTATAATAAGCGAATATAAAGAATATTACAAAGAATATTACGGAGATAGTTATTAGCAGTAATAATCTAATAAATCTACTCTTTATAATCTTATATTAATCTACTTAATTAATATAAGAGAAGTTAATATAATAGATAAATATAAAGAATATTATAAAGAAATTAAGCGATAATAAGATTTCTAGTATTAAAAACACGGTTTAGCTCTCTAAGATTCTACGTTATATACTCTCTATAGTTTTATATTAAATTATTATTTAATAAGCGAAGAATAATACTATAACTTAGTTTATTATCTCTACTATATTAAGAAATAAGAGAAGAAATTATAATAGATAAATATAGAGAATACTGCGGAGAATACTATAGAGAATATTACGGAGAAATTAAGCGATAATAAGATTCTTAGTATTAAGAATACGACTTAACTCTCTAAAATCCCACGTTATATACTCTCTATAATTTTATATTAAATTATTACTTAGTAAGTGAAGAATATTACTATAATTTAGTCTATTATCTTTATTATATTAATAATATTATAAGAGAAGAAACTATAATAAATAAATACGGAGAATACTGCGAAGAATACTACGGAGAATATTACGGAGAAATCAAGTAATAATAAGATTATTATCGTTAAGAATATAGCTTAGCTCTTCGAGATCTCACATTATATACTCTTTATAATTCTATATTAAATTATTACTTAATAAGCGAAGAATACTACTATAACTTAATTTATTATTCTTATTATATTAATATAGTATATTACTATAATAATATTATAAAAGAAGAATCTACTATAATAATTTAAATAATTAGGCCTCTATAGAAGAAATATCGAATAATATATATTTGGATAAATTGAAATCGTTCGATGTTTATAGCTATTCTATTATTTAAAAGATTTTATTATAATAAGAGATATTATGAGATTTATATCACTAATTAGCACGTTATCTCTATTTCTTTTTAATATTTCGATACTTCTTGCCATAAGAATATAGTCTTTCTCTATTTTTTATAGGCAATTATTATAAATTAATTCTTTATATTATATCTTCCTAATTAAGCCTTAACGCGCCTCTCTTCACATATATGTACTTATAGATTATATAGATTAAATTAATTTTATAATAGTGAAAGTAGATTAAAAACGTAATTAGAGTTTAATTTAACTTAGGGCTAGGGCTAAAATTCGATTTGACTTAGAAAAATCTAATTTCATAAATTTAATTTATAGGCCTTTACTTGTATTATAATAAAGAGTTATTATATATATTATTAAGTCTTTAATATAATATTACTTATCTTTCTTCTAGAGTAAAAGCGATTTATTTATTAATTATATTAAATATATAATTAGAAAGAGAGTATATTATTAAGAAGTTAGTAGTTATTATTACGAGCGTACTCTTAATACACCCCTCAGTTCTATAGCTAGCGGGCCTTAGCGGAGATATCTCCTATTATATTATATCTTCTTTTCACCTATATAGTTCGATATCTTAGTTATCTTATTTAATATATCTATATTAATATTATATCTATATTAATTCTAATACTATAATTAAGATTAACTTATTTATTTTATTTATATTAATAAATAAATTCAAAGAAACACGCTAATAAAGGTTTTAGTAAGAAATTAAGTTAAGTTATTATATTTTTAGATAAGTCTATTAGATAGATAAATTAATTTTAAAGAGTCTAAAAAGAATAGCGAAATGATCTCGATAAATAGTAATTAAGGAATAAAGAAGATATTAGATTATTTATATAGCTAGCGAATTAAAAGAAATAGCTAATACTATCTTATATTTCTATATTTAAAATATATATTAATAATATTACTTATAACTTTATATATTATAATATCTAAGATTTTAATAAGATCTTAATTAAATAAGAATTAATCGAGTTATAATTAATTAAAGATATTATTCTTCGAAACTTTTTTATATATAACTTCTCTATAAAATAAAAGACTCTCTAAGCGAAATAAATATACTTAAAAAACTACTATTTAAAGCACTTATAGTCTTCTTAACGCCTTAAATAATTAAGAAATAAATATATTAAACTCTTATAAAAAAATAATCTTATCTTAAGCTTTATAGTGAATTTTTTTATTCTTAATATTAAATAATTTCGATATATTTTAAAGAGGCTTTATTATTCTCTAGTATATCTAATATTCTTAATATTCATTCTTTTAAAGTATTTAAACTCCTCTCTACTTTATTTTAAATCTTTCTTTTTTCTTTCTTATAGCGAAGTCTAATATTAAAAAAATAAATTAAATTAAAATCTTATTAAAGTAAATTAAATTTTAATAAATATTAATTTTATTAGATAATATCTCTAATAAGATAAACTTAATAAATATATCTTAAAATATCGCTAATAATTTATAATTATAATATTAAATTAAATATTAATCTAACGAATTTATAATTATATTAAATAAAATTTATTAAAAATAAAACGATTTTTAAGAGATTATTACTCGATATTATATCGCTATAATAAAAAAGAACCTAGCTATAAATAATTTATATTAGATCTATAAAATAATCGAGAAGATAAACTAACTAGTCTAAGACTTTTAGAAGAATATAACTTTTTTATAATAAAAAGTTAATAATCTTAAGATATAGTTTATAAAAGATTTATAACTATTATTAATTAAGAAGAAATATATATCTAGATATTTAAAAGAGAAATTAGTTAAGATTTTAGATTTACCTCTATTTATCGACGATAGTAATTTTATTTAGAACGATTAATTCTCTAGAATAAAATAGAAATTCAAGATTAATAGCGATTATTATCTTATTAAAGACTTTAAAATAGTTTATATAATTTTATAACTCGATAATAAAATTATATAGTATATTATATATAAAAAACTTCGAAACTCTATTAATTTATATTAATCTTTTATTAAAATTATAAATAAATAAATTAATATTTATAAAAACTTAAATCGATATAATAATATAT